GTTTGATCACTGTGGGCCAAATGGAACTTAACTTATGCTCCTGAAACTGTTTTCAGTTTTAAGGTAATAGTGACCTTGACCTTTGACTGTGTCACCCCAAAATCAATAGGGGTCTTCTACCTAATATGGACAATCATCCTATCAAATTTGAACACTCTGGGCCAAATGGAACTTAAGTTATGCTCCTGAAACTGTTTTCAGTTTTAAGGTCTTGGTGACCTTCACCTTTGACCTTGTCTTGTAACCCGAAATCAATAGGGGTCTTCTACCTTATATGGAAAATCATCCTATGAAATTTGAACACTATGGGCCAAATGGAACTTAAGTTATACTCCGGAAACTGTTTTCAGTTTTAAGGTCATTGTGACCTTGACCTTTGACCTTGTGACCCCAAAATCAATAGGGGTCTATTACCCAATATGGACAATTATCCTATGAAGTTTGAATATTGTTGGCCAAATGGAACTTTAGTTATGCTTCGGAAACTGTTTTCAGTTTTAAGGTAATAGTGACCTTGACCATAGACCTTGTGACCCCAAAATCAATAGGGATCTCCTACCCAATATGGACAATCATACTATGAAGTTTAAACACAGTGGGCCAAATGAAACTTCAGTTATGTTCTGAAACTGTTTTCAGTTTTAAGGTAATAGTGACCTTGACCTTTGACCTTGTGACACAAAAATCAATAGGAGTCTTCTACCTGAAATGGGCAATCATCCTATGAAGTTTAAATATTGTGGGCCAAATGGAACTTAAGATATGCTCAAGAAACTGTTTTCAATCTCTAAGTAATAGTAACCTTGACCTTTGACCTTGTGCCCCAAAAATCAATAGGGGTCTTCAACCTAATATGGACAGTCATCCTAATAAGTTTGAACACTGTGGGCCAAATAAAACTTAAGTTATGCTCCTGAAACTGTTTTTTTTGTTTTAAGGTAATAGTGGCCTTGACCTTTGACCTTGTGGCCCCAAAATCAATAGGGGTCTTCTACCCAATATGGACAATCATCCTATGAGGTTTGATCACTGTGGGCCAAATGGAACTTAACTTATGCTCCTGAAACTGTTTTCAGTTTTAAGGTAATAGTGACCTTGACCTTTGACCGTGTGACCCCAAAATCAATAGGGGTCTTCTACCTAATATGGACAATCATCCTATCAAATTTGAACACTCTGGGCCAAATGGAACTTAAGTTATGCTCCTGAAACTGTTTTCAGTTTTAAGGTCTTGGTGACCTTCACCTTTGACCTTGTCTTGTAACCCCGAAATCAATAGGGGTCTTCACCTTATATGGACAATCATCCTATGAAATTTGAACACTGTGGGCCAAATGGAACTTAAGTTATACTCCGGAAACTGTTTTCAGTTTTAAGGTCATTGTGACCTTGACCTTTGACCTTGTGACCCCAAAATCAATAGGGGTCTATTACCCAATATGGACAATCATCCTACGTTGTTTGAACACTGTGGGCCAAATGGAACTTAAGTTTTGCTCCGGAAACTGTTTTCAGTTTTAAGGTCATAGTGACCTTGACCTTTAAACTTGTGACCCCAAAATCAATAGGGGTTTTCTACCCAATATTGACAATCATCCTATGAAGTTTGAACACTGTGGGCCAAATGGAACTTAAGTTATGCTCCGGAAACCAAATTGCTAATGGACAGACGGACGTCCGGACAGACAGACGGACTGACGCCACAGGGTATAACATGCCCGAAAGAATTTCTATAAAAAGTAACATTAAAATTCCTCCATGCATTATAAGATATGCTCTGGACAATAATAGGATATTTTATCATTTCTTATGACCTTGACCTTGCAAATATTGACTTAAATTACATGTGCCAGTCCTGTAGTCATGATAATTACCATTTATGTTACAATCCATCAATAAATGATGACCAAATGGTCCCTATACACATCCTGAACTATGACATCTATGTGTGACCTTGACTTTGGTTGCAGGTGCCTGACTTTTAGGCACAACACTCAGCCTCACAAAGGTAAATATTTGTGCCCAGGTATACTAAAATCCTCTTATGAATGTAGAAGTTTTGCTCCGAACAAGCGTTTTTCAATTAGCTCTAAGTGTGACCTTTGATCTAGAGACCTGAATCATGCATGGAGCAATACATCCGATTATAGTGTTGAACATTTCTAAAAAGAATTATAAATATTCTTCCATGTATGTAGAAGATTTACTTTAGACAAAATCTGGATATATCATCACCTTTAGTGACCTTGACCTTTGATCTAGATACCTGAATCATGCACGGAGCAATACATCCGATAAGAGTGGTGAACATTTCTAAAAAGAATTATAAATATTCTTCCATGTATGTAGAAGATTTACTTTAGACAAAATCTGAATATTTCATCACCTTTAGTGACCTTGATCTTGCATTGATCATGATATTGACTGTGACAGCTGTAGTAATGATAATGACCATTTGTGTTACAATCCCTCAAAAAGGATATCTAAATGTTCCCTATACACATCTCATATATTTATCTGAATTTTGACCTTTAAGTGTGACCTTCACCTTGGCCGTAGGGACCTGAATTTTGTATGCGAAACTTAGAGTCCTGGCTCATGATCGTGACATGGCTTCTCATAGAGGTGGATATTTCAATGAAGTTTCATTAAAAGCCCTCCTTGGGTATAGAAGAGATATTCCGGACAAAATTGGAACACTAATTCTGAATATTTCATCATTTTAAGTGACCTTGTCCTTGCATAATTTTATATTACATGTTACATGTGTCACAGCTGCAGTCTGTGATACTGACAATTTGTGTTACAATCCCTCCAAAAATGATGACTTAATTTACACATTTTCATCTGAACTTTGACCTATATGTGTGACCTTCACCTTGGCTGCAAGGACCTGCATATTTCATGCAAAACTCCGCCTCACAAATGGTTAACATTTGTGCCGAGTAAAATCAAAATTTCTCTATGCATGTAGGAGGTATGCTCCTGAAATTTTGATGCTGACCGCCCACCCCCAAGGATGTTCCCATAATACGTTCAGTTTTTTAAACAGGCATATGAAAAAGTCATAAAAACCTTCAACATTTACATGCACTGCCAATGCTGCTGCCAAGGTGAGTAAGATAGCTCCCCTTTTCTTTGAACAGCCCTATTTAAGGTTTACCACCCTAATGGGCACTGTAAGGGACTTAAAAATTTACATAATAGGTCAGATATATACCTTAAGGTAGACCATGGGTAATGCATTACCTCCACTTTGAAGAGTATTCAAATAGGCTAGAATTGCCTGTAAACTACATTGAAATTGAGGGACGTGGGTTCAAACCCAATAAGGGGCAACTTTTTTTTTCTTTCTTTTTTTCTTTTTAACATTATTTATGTATCTCTCTGATCCCTTATGGAAGAAAAAAAGTTTGATTTAAATTATATAATTATTTTTTTAAATTATATATGAGGGTTTTTTTTGCTAAATAATGCTAAAATTTATAGCAAATGTAATACCAGATATTTTCAAAATTCGATAAAATAAAAACTACACAGTAAAGGTATTTAATATTTCGCATGATCAACTAATATACCTTTGAGAAAATTTAGGCAAACTTTGAAAATAGATCCTAATTTCGATAAATTTTAGGGATATTTTGAATAAGGCATTTTAGATAGGGAAATGGTAAAATTAATGTTAAAAGTGGGTGGGGTAGGGTAACATTTTTATACATATTAAGAACATTTTGTTTAGAAACAAACATTTTGCTTGTGTTACCTGAATGTTATTATTTGTTTCTTAACAATGAGCAATAGAAAAACATTTTTATAATGTTGATATTACAGATTTAAAGTTCCCTCATTTCTGAAAATAAGCCCGTCTAATGGCAAAGTCTTAGTTCAGAAATATATCCATTACTCATAAACCACACGGAAACTTGTATTTAAATTTTGCATACAGGTGACATATAACTGTCCTATGTTGTCAATTTTACAGTTCCTTATGGTGCCCATTACCCATGGTCTACCTTAAAGTACATATGTATGCAAAATTTAAACAAAATTTACCATCAGAAATCAAGTTATGGCCACTTTTCTGAACTCAAGCTAGGATGTTATGAGGGCTCTTTTTTAGAAATGAGGGACCTTTAAATAATCTGCAAAAACATTCTAATGAAAAAAAATTTCCCATTAATTTTTGGTAAGAAACAACCATTCAGCTAACAATCCACATATTACCCTATCTCACCCATTTTACCACATGTCTGACCATTTTCCTACTTAGGGAGCCTAATTTAAACAAGAGGGCCCTGATGGCCCTGAAGTCGCTCACCTGTATATAGGCCCCCAGAGCAGGGCCAGTTTAAACCTCAGGGCTTTTATTTGAACAAACCTGGTAGACACCCATTAGAAGATGTTTCATGCTAAACATCTAAGGTCCAGCTCGTTGAGTTTAAAAAAAAAAGATTTTTAAGTTTTAACTATACACATATACTAAAAAGCAATGACACCCCTAGGGCGGGGCCAGTTTTGACCCCAGGGCTTTAATTTGAACAACTTTTGAAGACACTCACTAGAAAATGTTTCATGCTTAATATCTCAACTCTAGCTATTTGGTTTTTTTCAAGAAGATTTTTTTAAAGTTTTTGCTTTACGCATATAAAGAAAATCAATGTTACTCGGGGCAGGACCAATTTTGACCCAGGTAGGGCTTTTATTTGATTTTTAAGTTTGTGCTATACACATAAATAAAATCAATGACCTACGGGGTGAGCCCAATTTTGAACCAAGGGCTTTTATTTGAACAAACTTTTGAAGACACTCACTAGAAAATGTTTCATGCTTAATATCTAAACTCTAGCTATTTGGGTTTTTTCAAGAAGATTTTTTAAAGTTTTTGCTTTACCCGTCCCTAGATTTGCCACTAAAATGCCACCCTTTTCAATGGTGGAGTATTTAGACTATTTTCCACCAATAATGCCACCAAAACGCCACCCAAATCATGAAATGGTGAAAAATTTGAGCAGGACTGATGTTATATAATTTTCCAGTTAATTCCACCTTTTTTACACTAAATGCCACCAATGAGTGGAAAATTGGTGGAGTATTTAGACAAACTTTCACCATAATGCCACATTATGCCACCTTAGGGTGGCAAACTCATTTTCCACTAGATGCCACTTGTTTCCACTTATTGCCACCATAATGGTGGAAAATTGGTGGAGTATTTAGACAAATTTCCACCATTATGCCACCATTGAGTGGCAAACTTATTTTCCACCAAATGCCACTTATTTCCACCTTTTGCCACCATAAGGGTGGAAAATTGGTGGAGTATTTAGACACTTTTCCACCATTTTGCCACCAGATAGTGGCAAATTCAGTTTCCACTAAATGCCACCTATTTTCACCCTTTCAGAAATTTTCCACCTTGTGGGTGGCAATAGCTGGAAACTGCTTGAAAGTCACCCTGTACCCTAAATTGGAAACAAACAAATTTTAAAAATAATCCTTTTTAATGTTTCCATATGATATGATATATTGTCTCAAAAAATAGCAAAACATTAGTCCATTTATTTTCTTCAGTTTATCTTTGAGTTCAGTCCTTTAGGTTGTCGGCAACTTTTCAAGCGCACAATCTAAAACAAAAAAAATTATGAATGATTAATACAATAATAAAAAACATAAGCTTACATTTTTATATGACTATTGGATATTTCTATATTCAATTTGAGTGCATAGATATGATTAAAACACTTTAAAAAACAGCACTGCAGACATTGAAGAATCAGACTTTTCTTATTTACTCCAAGGCAGAAAATATACGCAGAATCAAAAATGATATTTTCATTCAGTTCATTAGTTACCTTCCAAGAACTTAAGTTTTGCCTTGTCTGCACAAGAAGGTCTGGCGTCAGACTCTCTGTTCCCTTTCCTCATACCATACATTGAGCGGCCTTTAATCTCTTCTATATTGAATAGCATTCTGAAGAGCTTTGCTGTACCTTTCTCTTTTGAGGCATATGGCTTCAGTTCTGCCATCACTTGGTCCTAAAATATAATTATCAATATCCATAAAGTAAAGACAGAAAATGACTATCAATATCTAATATGTAAAGACAGAAAATGAAACACTTTTATAAGACCTTGGTATATGTATACAACTCTAAAATTTTAAAATAAGAAAGAAATAAAGAAATACAACACATCAACACCAGTGCAGGTTGAGTAATTAATAATCTTCCAGTTTCAGTTCTTAACGCACCTTCATCAGGATAAATATTTGATAAAATTTTCAAGCTAAAATGTACAAAAACTCTAAAATTTGTAAAACAAAATGTAAATGCAAATTAAAGTGTCATAAAGAGTTTGAATTAAAGTAGGTTTGTAAATAGTGACTAATAGCTATATTTATCAAGAACTGAAAAGTGTCTTATTGGGTACTGTGACACTTCTTTCCTATTAATTCTAAAATAACTTTGAATTAACAAGATACCTTTGTAAAGCCACTGAAGATCAAATGTGTTGCTCCAGGCTGCTCCTCATTGCTTTGTGTCTGCAAAAGAACAATTCTTATTTAATGCTGTTTCTGTTATGAACTGTCATTCTCCTAATAACATGTTACTCTAGACTGTCTAGTTATGGTTATATAATTATCTACTGCACCATGAAAGCTGAATTACAACAATGAAGGAATGAAACTTACTAATAAATCAGTTACTGTTAATCTGCTCCACATGTGACACACAAGGAAAATTGTTTATAGCATGAAAGTTGTAGTAATAGGTACCTCAGGTTACCTATAGTTTGATTGATGTAATATTGTACATAATGATATTGTACTTACTGATTAATTTCTATAATTTTTTTCTCAAACTTAAAATTTCTAACATATTGTATTTAAGAAATGATGAAGATCTTCCTACATTCTTTATATTCCTACATTCTTTATATGTACATAATGTACATGCAGCTTTCTTTTTAGTCAAGTTACAAACAAAACAAATATAAAACACAATTTTATACAATACCACTTCATATATTTACTGTCAAAAAACTAAACAGTTTCTGCATAAATAACAATAATTATTGTATGTAAAAGTTGTTTACCTGAAACTTTGACTGGGAATGATTCTGCTGTTTATCTTCTTGTCTACACATTCACACTTCAGTTAAAACTTCTCATTTCTATTTACCACACTAATAAGACTTTAAATGTTTTCTTTGAGAAATCAAAAATATGCACCCTTACATTTTAAACAAAATATCTCCGGAATTGCTACAATATCAATAATTTCCTTTGTGTTTGCAAGCTTTAGCTGACCTCAATTCCTTTGAATTCAAACTTTACAACGGTGTAACTGCATGGACAGTCCATTATAATTTTAAATTGTGAGGGATTTTCCAAAAACCATAGCACCCATCATTTTATTTTTACATTGATTTGAATGTATAAACTATGTCTAATACCTCAATAGATTGAGTAGAAATAAGCTTTTGAAAGATAATTTAGCATGCTATTTTAAGACAAATTCTACATAAAAACATGTATAATGTTGCCTTTCCCAAAATAATCAAATGGAACACTCTGGTCAGCATGAGTAAACTATTAACCCCCATTCATAGATTACTAGATAAGAGGGCAGTAGTTTTATCAGATCTGAGATATATGCTGTGTTGTTAAATCTTAGAGGATGCAGTATTTACTAGCTAGTAGTTACTTATCCTGATTGTAAGAAATTTATCAGACATTATGACTTATTTACTTTTCACACATTATTTTTTACAATAGATTTAAAGCCTCTGAAAGCATAGCACAAAAGATGTTAGAGACAATAATTTTAAACTCCACATATAACTAAATCTCATTTATGAGAAGTTACAATGCCAAGGAACCATAACTTTTTATTGCATGATTTGGGGTTTATTGCCATTTTTTACTTCTCTATGCTTAATTTTTGTCTTGATCATTAAGCTTAAAAAGTAATGGAGATATTAATTAAAAACTTCACAGATATAGATCTTTTCTAGTAATGTGCTGTGTTTAAGAACCATAAATCTTTGCATACTTTTGGAGTTATTGCCCTTTGCATTTTTCACTTTAATTATTGTTAGCATTACATGAAAAGTGTTAGTACTCACCAGATATCAGTTTAAAGTAATTATGAAGAGACAATTTATTATGTCAATTAGAAGAAAAGACAAAAGTCAAACTTTATTCAAGATTGACATTAAATATCATAGAAGAAGCAACAAACTTTATGCAAAGATATGCATTTTCTGGGCATAGAAGAACATTTCAACTATTTAATGTACAGATTATTACTAAAGAACAAAGTACACTTTAAAAGCCGTAATTTTATTTTACAAGCATAGAATGGAACATAAACATTTTGACTTGAAAGTCAAATTTTACATCCCTAAAGAAAAGTACTGCCATAAAAAATGGGAAGTTAAGTAACCCCATACTTTTCTAATTTATCCTGATCATAATTATATGTGTTTAACGCCTGGAAAAGTGATTTTACGCCCAATTTCTGTGTCTTTTCCTGCTACTTTACAGCTGGAATTATCATACCGTTACTGTGAGGCAGTGACTTTGTATCAGAATTGTGTTCATGGCATTCTAGTATGTTTAAGAAATATGAGTTTCTGATAAAATTTTCTTACTGTTCAACTTCAATAAATTATATTTTTGATAAAAAGTTCACTTGATGCTTTGGTAGAGTACAAACTATAAACAGATTTATTTCAGTTTGGAGCTTTGACTTAAATAAATCTTAAACCCTGCAATGCACAATTATTAGATTTCTCAGTTTTTTCCACCAATTTTTATAAATACAACCCAGAAAATAGTTAAGAGTTTCCCTTTTCGACTAAAAGTTATTCACAAAATTTTCTAAGTTTTTTTCCACTATTTTGCCACCCAGAAAATAGTTAGAGTTTCACTTTTCCACTAAAAGCCACTCATTTTCCACCTTCAAAATAAACTAAGTTTCATTTTTCACCAATTTCCACCCTTTTGCCACCATAAAAAAAGTCTATGTTCAAATTTCCACTCAATGCCACCTAAATGCCACCAAAGGATAGTGGAATTTGGTGGCAATTTTGCCACTACAGTGGAAAAAGAGTGGAATTTTGTCATTTTCCAGTTAATGCCACCTTTTTTACACTTAATGCCACCCTTTTCAGTGGAAATAGCTGGCAAGTAGTGGCAAATCTAGGGACGGGTACACATATAAAGAAAATCAATGTCCCTCGGGGCAGGGCCAATTTTGACCCTAGAGCTTTTATTTGAACAAACTTTGAAGACACTTACTGAAAGATGTTTCATGCTCAATATCATTACTCTAGTAATTTGGGTTTTTTCAAAGAAGATTTGTAAGTTTTTGCTATACACATAAATAATATCAATGACCCCTGTTGCGGGGCCAATTTTGACACAAGGGCTTTTATTTGAACAAACTTTGTAGACACTCACTAGAAGATGTTTCATGATTAGTATCTAAACTCTAGCTATTTAGGTTTTTTCAAAGAAGATTTTCTTAAAGTTTTTGCTTTACACATATAAGGAAAATCAATGACCCCCAGGGCGGTGCCAATTTTGACCCCAGGGCTTTTATTTGAACAAACTTTGTAGACACTCACTAGAAGATGTTTCATGCTTAATATCTTAACTCTAGCTATTTAGGTTTTTTCAAAGAATACATTTTATGTTTTTGATATACACATAAAAAAGGAAAATCAATGACCCCCAGGGCGGGGCCAATTTTGACCCCAGGGCTCTTATTTGAACAAATTTGGTAGACACCAATTAGAACATGTCTCATGCTAAATATCTTAGCTCTAGCTCTTTGAGTTCTTTAAAAGTAGATTTTTTATGTTTTTACTATATACATATAAGGAAAGTCAATGATCTACTGGGGCGGGGCCAATTTAAACCCCAAGGCTTTTATTTGAACAAACTTGGTAGACACCCATTAGAACATGTTTAATGCTAAGTATCCTAGCTCTAGCTCTTTCAGTTCTTTAAAAGAAGATTTTTTAAGTTTTTACTATATACATATAGAGAAAATCAATGACCCCCTGGGGCGGGGCCAATATTGACCCCAGGGCTTTTTTTTGAACAAACTTGGTAGTCACCCATTAGAACATGTTTCGTGCTAAATATCTTAACTCTAGCTCTTTGAGTTCTTTAAAAGAAGATTTTTAAGTTTTTACTATATACATATAGGGAAAATCAATGACCCCCTGGGGCCGTGCAATTTTCACCCCAGGGCTTTTATTTGAACAAACTTGGTAGACAACCATTAGAACATGTTTCATGCTAAATATCTTAGCTCTAGCTCCATGAATTCTTTAAAAGAAGATTTTTAAATTTTTACTATATGCATACAGGGAAAATCAATGACCCCCTGGGGCGAGGACAATTTTGACCCCAGGGTTTTTATTTGAACAAACTTGGTAGACACTCATTAGAACATGTTTCATGCTAAATATCTTAGCTCTAGCTCATTGGGTTCTTTAAAAAAAAGATTTTTTAAGAGTATACTATATGCATATAGGGAAAATCAATGACACCCTGGGGCGGGGCCAATTTTGACCCTAGGGCTTTTATTTGAACAATCTAGGTAGACACTCACTAGAAGATGTTTCATGCCAAATATCTAAGCTCTAGCTCTTCGGGTTCTTTAAAAGGAGATTTTTTAAGTTTTTACTATATGCATATAGGGAAAATCAATGACCCCCTGGGGCGGGGCCAATTTTGACCCCAGGGCTTTTTTTTTAACAAACTTGGTAGACACCCATTAGAACATCTTTCATGCTAAATATCTTAGCTCTAGCTCTTTGAGTTCTTTAAAAGAAGATTTTTTAAGTTTTTACTATATACATATAGGGAAAATCAATGACCCCCTGGAGCGGGGCCAATTTTGACCCCAGGGCTTTTATTTGAACAATCTTGGTAGACACTCACTAGAAGATGTTTCATGCCAAATATCTAAGCTCTAGCTCTTTCTGTTTTTTAAAAAGAAGATATTTAAAGTTTTTTCTTTTGGTTGCCATGGCAACCAGAGTTCTGCATGGAATTAAATTCTTTGAACAATTTTTAAAGGTGACCACCAAAGGAACATTCCTGTGAAGTTTGGATGAAATTGGCTTAGTGGTTTATGAGGAGATGTCATTTAAAGTAAAAGTTTACGGACGGACGATGGACGGACGGACGCCGGACGAAAAGCGATCACAAAAGCTCACCCTGTCACTTTGTGACAGGTGAGCTAAAAATGACTCTTTTAACAGTTAATAGTTGTTATTTATATTTATATATTATATGCAATAAATAAAATATTATTTTCGTGTAGATTCAATACTTAATTTATTGAAGTTGTTGAATAAAACAATATTATGCTCGCCAGAGGCTTGTTATAATAGATCTAACATGATTTTATTCAACTCGTTTAATAAAATTTAGTATTTATAAATGTACACTCATTCAATATTCTCTATTTCTGTAAGTATTAAATAAAACATTATCTAAAAAGAACATTAAAATGTTTCATAATGTTAATACACTACAGCCTCATTATAACGCTCATGTTGGGGTCCAATGTTTCAAAACCGCGTTCTAACGAGGCTCTCATTAGAACGCTCATTGCGAAATTACCCCACCTTCCGCCTATACATACAACACTGACAATTTTTACTTACTTTTCAATGAATATCAACATTATCTTTTTCTAAAACAATTCAATGATGTAAACCTATATTATATTCACAAATAATGCTTATTATATTTAAAAGTAACAAAAAACTTTCAAAAGAAAAACATAAATCATAAATGCAGTGTAAACAGTTTTCAATTACAGTCCAGCTTTAGTTTTGTTCCCTAAGTTAATCAAACGCCATTTACTTCCTGTCTGGGCCGTTCTATATACAGTGCAGGATTTTAAATTGATTTTGGGCTTGTGTGGGTTATTTAATTCAGCGAGGTTTGCATGTCACAGATATGTGTGTGAATTTTAGTTTATTTATACTCATCACTGGCTGCCCATGTCACAGATGATATAAATTTGAGATTTTGGAAACAATGTGATGCCTGACTAATCAACAGGTAAAACAACAAAAGAGCGGATAAACGCTAACCTGTGCATGTTTTCCACACTTTTAGTGCTCATAAATGTCCTAATCACAATTGTTTATTGTACTTGACTATCAAATTGAACAAGCATTATAGTGGATATGGCGTGCTATAACTCTAGATCTACATGATTTTTTTTTTGTTTGGGAGCCAAGGTCTATGAGCGCTATACTGAGATTAGCGTTATAACAGCTATTTATTGAGGCTATAGTGTAGGTCACAAAATCAGTTACTACGACACCATTGTGATCACAGAAGCACAACAGTTAAAATACTCAAAACCACCACTGTACACAGAATAGCAAGTTTATCATGAGATACACCAGCTTACAATCTGTCATGTAAAAATATGGGCGCCGCCATCTTTCTACGTCATCATCAATTTTGACGTCATATTTCTTAGCATAATTAATTACACGATAACGGCTGTTCATGCTTGGCGCGGCTCAAACATACATACAAACACACACAGGTGAATCGCTATATGCCACCACATCGCAAATGCTGCGGTGACATAAAACTCACAGATGAATCGCTATATGCCACCGCATCGCTGAAAAATATTGCATTTAGAGTTATAAACCTTGTCATTTAAGATGTGGTTGATGATAAGGAACATACATTTGAAGTTTGAAGTTGATCACTTAAGAAATAAAAGTTATAGTAAAAAATATTTTACTGCACAAAACTTAAATCTAAAATCGTGGACGCCAACATAAATGTCAGGGTGAGTAGGAGAGCCCTCCATATACTTCATATAGTCAAGCAAAAAATACATAAAAGACAAGACAACAGCTTTCCTACATTCATGGCAATCAAAAACAATTATAATTATATACAACTTACCTATCCACATGGTTTCATTTTCTGGCAGTTTTTCTTTACATCCACATGGACAGCTTCGTAAGCTCTTTTGTTTACTAGTGTAAGCTTTTCCTGCCAACTTTGAAATCAGATGAATTCCAAGACCAATTTCAAGTTCACCTTCATCTCTTGACTTCTTGATAACCTCTCTAAGTGCATTTAAATTTGTATCAGTCAGAAATCTATTTAGATGTTCTATTGCCTTCTTAAGACCTGTGTTGCTGAAATCTATCTAAAAAAGAAATAAGAACGTCCTAAAATGTCACAAAGTCAGTGGGTGTCTTCACAGTACTACTGTGAGTTTTAACAACAGAATCATGCTTTTTGATGAAAGAAACTGTTATGCAGTACCTGCCATTTTTAAAAAATGTAAAACAAACTGAGATAATCCCTTACATTTTAAAAGGATGAAGCAACTTTGTTATTTAAAGAATTTAGCATAATGTGTTTTCCCAGGTGTTAAAACACACATATTTGATAAATCAATTACAGCTGTGTGAAAGATGCCAATTCTGAGTCAGGCCAGGAGGGATTTAACCAAAAAGTGTTTATTTGCTCTTTGATATATACTGAATTCTAACACTCACGCGATTTTGTCACTATAGACAAAGAAGGAAAAAAACTGGTGTTAAACTGCCAATAAACACCGGTTAGGGACTACTTGTATATGCGCTGTTATGTTTTCACCCTCGATTGTATAGTTTACAAAGCATTTTAAAGCAACAATAAAAACCATTTTTATTTATATTTTCAGTTCGTATAATGCTTTCTTTTCATACGATACCGAAATACTATCTCACAAACACTAACGCCACATATTAGATCCACATCATTTAATAAATATTTTGACAAAACGGCGCCAATCCGTAAGCAGCGTTATGACGTCATCCTAGTAAACAATTCATTCATAAACAAGCTGACGTTATTTCATACAGACAAGAATGATAAATGGGCCACTGATGTAAACACAATACGACGTAAGTTTTATTGTTGAAAACTTGATAAAATAACGTTTTTTTTTTCTTTTTATTTCATTTGTTTAATAATTTCTGTATCTCCGCAACAGTAGGGTGCTAAAATCGAACAGCGTTATACGAAAATCGGCACCGGAAGTTATTCCCGCTTGAAAAATAATTAGTGATTTTCCTTATTTCATCGTGTTAGAATCGAAATAACATCGGCCTGAGAGGTGTATATCGGCTATTTAACACCGGTATTGTCGTTTTGATGCGACAAAAGTAACCACTCAGGCCCACGGCCTTCGTGGTCAATTCCTATGCATCAAAACTCCAAACCGGTGTTAAATAGCCGATATACACCTCTCAGGCCGATGTTATTTCTTAAATATTACTTTCTATTACCAAAATACTGAACTTTTTATGCATGTATAAAATTCTTACAATTCATAATTAAGAGATTAAGAAATTGTACATGTAGTTTGTATATTAAATGCTTTACATTATCAACAAGAGCCATCGCAAGCCGGGTTCACGCTTATTACTTATGAGGCTTTTTTTGGCGATGGTCCTTCGAAGATCAAAGGCAAATTTGAATTACTCAATATGACGGTTTAGTGCTTCATGCAGTTTATATCAAAGTATGAACCAAATCTATTCTTAAATAACAAAGTTTGTGTTTAATGTCATAACTGGGGAGTCCGTGGCCGAGTGGTTAAGGTCGTTGACTTCAAATCACTTGCCCCTCACCGCTGTGGGTACGAATCCCGACAGGGACTTTGGATTCTTTCATATGAGGAAGCTATCCAGCTAGCTTACGGAACGTCGGTGGTTCTACTCAGGTGCCTGTTTGTGCCTGAAATAATGCACGTAAGGGCACCTGAGGTCTTCCTCCACCAGTTAAGCTGGAACGTAGCAATATGACCTAGATTCTATACTGTGTCGCTGTGACGTAAAACCCAAAACAAAACAAAAACAAACAAAGAATGTCATAACTGTTGTTTTGTCCAAGTATTACTCAAATTCATTCATTATCAAAAGTTACACAAATTCTAGCAATCTTCAATGCTATGACCTTGACGGTCAAGATTGTTCCAAGGTAAAGGTCATACATAACATAAGCAACATGTCAGTTTTGTCATAATTGTTTTTTGTCCAAGCATCAATCAAATCAATTCATTAATAACAAAGTTGCACCATTTTCAGTAAAATTCAATAACATTACCTTGACAATCAAGGTCAATTCAAGGTCAACATGTTATTTATCAGCAGTGTTGTTTTACATTAAGTGCAACTATCAATCAAATTCATCAAATAATAATGAAGTTTACGTCAATTTTTGCAAAATTCAATAATAAGACCTGGATGGTCAAGTCTTTTCAAAGTCAAGGCCAAACATAAATTATACATGTCTATTTTGCCCATGTATCAATCAAATTTTACCAAAGTTACACCAATTTTTGCAAAATTCAGTAACATGTCCTCAAGGGTTAAGGTCAATTCAAAGTCATACATTGATTATGCAACATGTCGGTTTTGTCATACATGTTATTTTATCAAAATATCAATAAAATCGATCAATTAATAACAATTTAAGCTACACCATTTTTAAGAAAATTCAATAATCTGACCATGACAGTCAAGGTCAGTTCAAGGGTAAGATTACTTGAGTTTGATCTTCTCTAAGGTGCTGTTCCAAGGGTTAACATGTTCAAGTATGATGACAATCCATTCATAAATAAGAAAGTTAGAAGCAATTATAATAAAAATTTTAAAAAACAAACCCTTTTCCTTGATTTTTAGATTCTATCCGAAAATTGATTCCGAACATCGGCAATTTCACATTCGCCAGAAACCCTCAAATTACTCAAAGGGCACAAAAATTCTCAGTTTTCAAGCTAACTATGTGAATGAATTGTTCCTTTGTTAATAAATCAACATTAAATCTTGAAATATTGATCTTCAATTTGCCCCCTTTTGAAGATATTTGCTAAAATAATTGTCGATTGGATGAATCTCTTACACATTGTGTGAAGCTGTACACGATTTTCCTATCCATTCCGCTAAACGCTGCCTATATACAATTACGTTTTTTTTTTTTTACAAATATAAACTTTTGGTCTTAAGAGTGGACCTATTTAACCAGAATAAAATTTGATTTGGTATATAAGTGAAAAAAAAAACAACAAAAAAAATTTCCACGAGTTGATGCATTATAATTTCATTGTTTCATATAATAAATATTAACAACCAAACAATACTTACACTATGTAGTTCAGAGTTTGTTTTGAATTACAATAAACTTTGAAAGTCTCTTGAAGATTCAAAATATAAGCAATGCTATTGTGAGCATAAAATGACTAATCTGTAAACATATTATTTGCAACACGCTTTTGGACTCCAAATTTTTCAGGCTTGGAAGTCCATGGACTCCATGTTTTAAAGTCCTAGTGAGGACCCTGTTTTAGCATTATGGAATATCATCCATGAATTTCTGTAACTAACAATTAAATATTTTACCATTTTGGTGTGCAAATATATTAAAGAAGACAAATGTTGTGTGTGTGTTATTTTTTAAAAGACACTGGAAAATACGTGAGAGTGAAATGTCCCTGCAATATTTCACAGTAAACTACGGTGAAGATATCCCAAAACACAAATTTAACCCAGAAAGTGGGACATCGCAATGCCAATCGACCACATTATCAATATACTTGTTGCATTATATTCACATACAACATAGATGTTATCTAAAACGCTACAATCCAAGGCTAAACTCGGGCTTTCCATGTATCAATAAGCAAATGCAAAATTTGAAATATCCTGACCGTGTCAGTCTCATCCTCTGTTTTCTCTTCTTGGAAATTTTTCTGTTTGGCTGAATGATCACCCATACACGAAGCTCCTGCAGTCTCCTGTTCATTATGCAAATCATCAGTAACTGTTATTTCAGTCTCATGAACATCAGATTTCTTACTTTTCAATATTCTTTCTTGTGTTTCAGTATCACTGCAATTGCTCAATTTTCTTTTCAACGACTTTTTTTCCTGAAAAGTTGCAAAATATTTTCATTTAGCATTTTTTACTACAAAAACATGTAGTCTGTGAGTTTGGCAAATTTCAATGATCCCCGGGGCGGGGCCAATTTTAACCCCTGGGCCCTTATAATGAACAAAAATGGTAGACACAGGCTGTCCAGCACCTTCTTACAAAAAATTAGGGCAAATTTAAGGGCAATTTTTAAGAAATTTTAGGGCTAAAATTAGGAATTTTAGGGTACTAAGTAAAAGAAATTTTAGGGCCAAAATTTGAAATTTTACAACTAAATTATTGCCCAAAAAGACCATGATATGGCCTCAACTTTGCATATTTGACACAAAAGTAAGTAATTCACAAATAATGCTCTAGTTCAGTTATAACAAAGGTGTCTACCAGTTTTCTATAGTCACTCCTGAATAAATGGATTCACTGGTCAACTGCTTATAACTGATAAGAGCTGAAAAACTTAACTACATTAAAACACAAGTAGAGATTTTGATGCTAAAGCATCAAGTCGCCGGATATCGACTGTATTATCACAAATATAAAAAAAAATCAGTTTAATTAATGGTTCAGGTATAAAGAAAAGAGGAACAATTTATGTTGAGTTTATTCACAATAAAACATCATATATGAAGCAAACTTGCTTAGCAATATTGTCAAGGAACTGCTATGATTATTAAGCAAGTATTTTGTATGTTAGTTTACGTAACTTATTATGATTTATGCTAAAGATTTTATTGATAGTATAGATCTCGATATTAAATTAATTAATATTGCTCGATGGCCAACAGGTGGTAAGTATAGGACGAAGTTGTGACCTAGTAGGCCAAATTCGAATCTTTGAAAATCCCTTTTGCAGTTTTCATAAAACTATTTTTTGCGCTATCGAAAAAATAAATTATTTAGTTGAAATCAATATTCCTGTCATTATATACATATGATATAGTAAACGTTTAATTGCCTTTCAGTACAAAAAGATATTTTATTAGTTTTCTTTATTATGTATCTAATACAATCTGTCATGCCGTTTTGGTAACCCGCGCGACGGAAATTGACCGAATATAACGAAGACGACGATTACCACTTTTTATTTCAATAAATGTGCCTCTTTAGCATAAATCTATTTTGTGATGTTCAACGTAAACTAAACTATTGAAAGTTGACAGAAAGGGCAAAATTTAACCCTTTACCAAGATAAAATGAAAAGGTTTTGAAAATTTATTTAATTCTTTAATGTGCTAATCCTTTCTAATGATATAAAGTATGAAACTGATTAATGAAAGATAACTTTGTAATTATTTATACATTTGCATCTAATTAGCCGCCATACTGTTTTCTTATCAGCAATCTGTTACTATTTATAGATTCTATAACACTTAAACATACATCGTGTAGTCACATGATTCTTAAAAATAGAACAGGGAGAATCTGTTTATAATTAGATAAAATAACGAAATATAATAGGTGTCATAAGATATAAACAACCATTAATTTAAATGTGTCATTTTAAATATCATTCATGATTTATCAATTATAAAATAGCAACGCTTGACACTTAGAAACAAGAGGGCCATGATGGCCCTGAGGTCGCTCACCTGTATATAGGCCCCACCAACACCCCACCCCCCCCCCCCAACGTTGCAGGGCCAATTTAACCCAAGGGCTTTTATTTGCACAAACTTGGTAGACACCCATAAGAAGATGTTTCATGCTAAACATCTAAGCTCTAGCTCATTGGGCTTTTTAAAAGAAGATTTTTTTTAAAGGTTTTTACTATACACATATAGTTAAAAACAATGACACCCCTTGGGCCGGGCCAGTTTTGACCCCAGGGCTTTTATTTGAACAAACTTTGTAGACACTTACTAGAAGATGTTTCATGCTTAATATCTATTAAACTCTAGCTATTTGGGTTTTTTCAAAGAAGATTTTAAGTTTTTGCTATACATATATAAAGAAAATCAATGACCCCCGGGGCGGGGCCAATTTTGACCCCAGGTCTTTTATTTGAACAAACTTTGTAGACACTCACTAAAAGATGTTTCATGCTTAATATCTTGGGTTTTTTCAAAGAAGATTTTTTAAGTTTTTGCTATACACATATAAGGAAAATCAATGACCCCCGGGGTGGTGCCAATTTTGACCCCAGGGCATTTATTTGAACAAACTTGGTAGACACCTATTAGAACATGTTTGATGCTAAATATTATAGCCATAGCTCTTTGAGTTCTTTAAAAGAAGATTTTTTAAGATTTTACTATATGCATACATGTATAGGGAAAATCAATGACCCCCCCGGGGCGGGGCCAATTTTGACCCCAGGGCTTTTATTTGAACAAACTTGGTAGACACTTATTAGAACATGTTTTATGCTAAATATCTTAGGTCTAACTCTTTTGGTTCTTTAAAAGAAGATTTTTTAAGTTTTTACTATATGCATATAGGGAAAATCAATGACCCTATGGGGCGGGCCAATTTTGACCCCAGGGCTTTTATTTGAACAAACTTGGTAGACACCTATTAGAACATGTTTGATGCTCAATATCTTAGCCATAGCTCTTTGAGTTCTTTAAAAGAAGATTTTTTAAGTTTTTACAATATGCATATAGGCAAAATCAATGACCCCCCGGGGCGGGGCCACTTTTGACCCCAGGGCTTTCATTTGAACAATCTTGGTAGACACTCACTAGAAGATGTTTCATGCTAAATATCTAAGCTCTAGCTCTTATGTTTTTTTAAAAGAAGATATTTAAAGTTTTTTCTTTCGGTTGCCATGGCAACCAGAGTTCCGCATGGAATTAAATTCTTTGAACAATTTTTAAAGGTGACCACCAAAGGAACATTCCTGTGAAGTTTGGATGAAATTGGCTTAGTGGTTTATGAGGAGATGTCATTTAAAGTAAAAGTTTACGGACGGATGGACGCCGGACGGACGACGGCCAGATGCCGGACGAAAAGCGATCACAAAAGCTCACCCTGTCACTTTGTGACAGGTGAGCTAAAAATGATTTGACTCATGAAAATTTTGGCCAAAGAGTCCTTGACTCGTGAAATTCTGACCCTACTGAGAGCCCTGTAGGAGGGATTTTAAAGTCCTTTGTGCCTCCCTAGCAGTTGTTAGTGCACCTGAGCAGCCCTTAGCGGTCCGACAACTCTTCAAAAACATAAATTTTACCACAAAAATGATATTTTTTCTTAAAATAATACATTTTTTGTCACTAAACATACTACCTTGAATTATAACAATGCCCTAGGAGGTCCTTTGTGCCTCCCTAGCAGTCTTTTGTATATCTGAGCAGTCGGGAGTCCTTAGCAGTCCGGCAACTCATAAAATTTTCACAAAAATAATATTTTTTCTTAAATTATAAAAAAAGTTTCACTGAACATACTACCATATATTATAGTGGAACCCCATTGTATCGTGCTATTCATTGTATCGATCTATTTACAAATCATTTGATTTATTTGCAAAAAGAACTAGCTACTGATTGTTTACATTTACAACAGTGTCACGAAAATCTTTCGCATTTGTTTTGTGCCATAACAATGATCAAAAACATGTTTCCAGTACCGTCGGACTTTGTAGATAATAAAAAGACTTATAAATAATGTGTTCTTATTAAATGTACATTAAAGTTACATTAAATAAATTTCATAAAAAAAAGAAATAGCGACATTTCATTAATAATTTGGGTTTCATATCGACTCCAGATCTTATTTTGGTGTCCAGACAACCAAAATGAGTTAAATGAGCATACAAATGTGCAACCTCATTGTGGCGAATTCGGAAGTACAATTTCTGTTTGCATGAGAAACTCCGCCTTCAGATCATCCGTACATCAATATAAAATCAACAAACATGACAATAAGTAGCAGTCCTAATTTAACGGTATATTTCCGCATTGAAACGGATATTTTCATACAAATTTAATCTTTTTTATGAGATGATTACTTTTTTCTTAACCACAGGCCTAGTGCACCGTGAAGCTTAAACGGTAAAGTGTGTTTGCACAAGAAAATCTTATATTTGCTGTGTTCCAGGTAGCAACTATATCACCGTGACGTAGCGCATACACAAGCTGATTATAGTCTTCATTTGCATGTTAAAATTCGTATTCAAACTTTAGTGTTACCGTGGGGTTTTCCATTTAAAATCCTAATTTCTGAACAAAATTTGATGAGATTTACAACGATACTGTTAAAAAGGTTAATGAAACTGTAGAATGCTTGGTTTTTAGGCAGACGGCAAAAATATTTTAACATATTTATTTAATGTAGCTTTAACTGTCTGTTAAAAGTTCCTAAATTTATGCTGACATTTTAAAACAGACATCCTAAATTCTAATTGACTGAAAAATCTAGCAAAAACTAAAAAAGATGGATCAGGCTTTCCAATCTTTGACAATGCATCAATATAATGGCGTGACCTAAGGCCACTCTTAAAAAATTATCTGTTTGCTATTGCCGGCCGACCCACCGAAAATGCCCCGACTCAAAAGTTTTTTTCAGCTTAAAAAAATCAGATTTTTTTTTATTTCCGCCAAATCAGCCAGGGCATTTGACCTAAAAAATTCCCTCGAAAACAATAATAAAATCGGAGGAAAATCACACATTTAATATGTAAAGTAACGAGTGATAATTCATGAGGGCATTCTGTGCATTACTATTTAAAGTATTTACATAAAAAGCGACCAACCAGGGAAGGATATTTTCCTTACGTCACGCAGTACTGCATGCGCGCGGCAATTAAGTTGAATTAACTAATAATAGAACGTATCAAAACGATATTAAAAATAATGTTTGTTCAATTAATGAATATTTGTAAAGCATTTATATGGTCACTAGTTTACCATGTGGTAATTTTAATGTGCTTTGGAGTACATGTTCGTTTGTTGATGACTGCCAACACAGATTAAATACTTAGCCCATGCAATGAAACATTTCTGGTAGCAGCGGGGATTCTGTCATAAAATTGACCGAAAAAATAAATTTTTGGAAGCTGTGGTCCTTTCATATGCATTGTTGCTTTGATAGCAGACACAAGTATTGCACAATATCTTCAAGATCGTAAAAATGTAAATAAAATATCACAATCAAAATCACAAATATACATACGTCTAATTAAACTCCATGTCAAAATGAACTTCCGATTAATAATATGTCAATAATATTGACACAATAAATATCCAACATTTTTTTTTTACTTGAGCAATAATTAAACATGTGTAATCATTCCTTGACAAAAAGAAATGACAGTTTTTTTCTATATATAAAAATGAGGTGGAAGTCAATTGAGTGTCGGCACTTCTTTGATGATTCCGCAACAACTGCAGGTGTGTAAACATCAAAGATTCACAGATTCTTCAGAAGAGCCGACCAGTCATTTGTCAGAGGTCATTTTGTGTGTAAATTTTGTATCTATTATTTAACAATGGAAACATTATATTCCTTTTATTTATGGATGCTACTTTTTGCCTGAGTGTTTTTGTGTCTTTTAGCACTATGGAATTTCAACAATCGGCGATAATTTTCGGTAACTAACAATGAAATATTTAAACATTTTTAAAACAGGGGTGCAAATATCCGCCATTCAGAAATTATAGGAGACAAATCTTGCGTGTGTTATTTTTTACAGACGTGTAATAAATTGAGTAATGATCACCCGATAGAACGATATGTCCTGGTGATCCACTATAATTTTTCAAGTTCGTACGAGAATATTTACCCAGGAGAAGTTTATCACATCGGTAATTTGACCATGCTTGAATTTATGTCCACATAGTCATTTTTTTTATTTCATGTTATGATTACTAGTGAACATGTTTTTTATTGTTTTTGACAGTCTTTTACATGTAAGTTTTGCCGTCGCCGATGATGATAGTGTACGTAGTCCAAATTTCCACAATCAGCTACAACGTACTAAGCGTATTAACTTATGTTCAGTAAAAATCATATATCAAAAAAAAAAAAAAAAGCCTACCTACCGACCCACTCCTTATAACTCTGGGTCGGCAATAGCAAACATATATATTATTAAGGATGGCCTAATTCTTCAACCTGTTTGGCATGTCTGTAAATATCCGTATACTGGTTGGAGGGATAACTCCGACACTAAATCACATACTTTTTGTAATATCTTAATTATCTTCCTGTATATTTTAAATATTGAACCACCTAAATAAAGTTCAGTTCAAAGACTTTACATTACACTACAAAAATAATGTATGAACATGAGAATTGGTACTTCTTTAAGGTCCTGAATGGGGTATACAAAACATGGTCTTTTTACCCCTCAACTGAGTAGATAAAGCCAACACTTGAATCTTTAAGTAAAAAATGACCGGAAAATCAGCATCATTAATTTATTTTTACATCTTATATGTTTTATCTATTTGTTGTTGATGTAAAAACAAGTTTTCAAAAATATTTCCCAAGTCGGTGACCTCTGGATAATACATTTCTAACTACCTCATTGTAATTTAGAAAAAAAGAACGTTTTGAAGCAGTTTTTGCCAACGAAAAGTTTCAGTTAATTGAAAAACATTTAAAAGTATACCAACTTACAAAAAATCATCAAATTCTGTCCTGCTCCTATACTAATAGGTGACCAAATGCTTTTTTGTTGAAAGACAAAGCTATAAAAATCATATTTATCAAGCAAGTGTCGGGGTTATCTATGCGTCGGAGTTAATCTCTCCAACCAGATTTCCAAAGCTAAAAACTATATATATTAGTAAGGGTGTAACGGTTTACCGGTTTACCGATATATTGCAATATGAAAAAATTAATTTCGTACCGCGGTACTATTTTTGGAAAACCGGTAAAAAAAGGCGGTATTTTATAAAAATCATATTTTTCAATTATTTGCCTTCTAATTTTGTACATAAAATCTTTAATTGGCTAATTTTGTTGGCGCCAACGTAAGATAAAAGTATCCGACAACTAGTACACTTAAAAGTCAATAAGCGGCCGCATAATTTACATAAGCAGCCCAGATGTGAAAGGTCACACGCGACTAGTTTTGTTTTTCAAATTGTGAGACACTTTACTTTCTATTTATTCCTTAACTTTTTATTAAGTGTCTACTAAAATATATACATATAATAATAATATATAAATGTAACTCCATCTTTACATCAAAACATATACACGACAATACGTATTGCAATACGTTTCAGCAAAATGGCAATATATTGCAATACGGTTTTTGCTGTATTGTTACACCCCTATATATTAGTGATGTTTGCTATGTAAATATTATGACAAAAGAATCAAAATAAATGATACAAAATAAAGATTCAGGGAGATTTAAATTTTTTAAGTTCAATTGTGATTTATAGGTAAATAGATCGATACAACAGGGTTCCAGGCTATAAGAATGCCCTAGGAGGTATTTTAAGGTCCGTTGTGCCTCCCTAGTAGTTCTTTGTGGCTCCTTAGCAGTCCTAAGCAGTCATAAAAATCAGGCCAAGCTATCGATAGTGTTGCCGGTAGATTTTCCGTGCGTAAAAATGACACTTAAAATTAGGCGTAACGGTTTGACAGTAATAGCGAGCTTGACGAGCTGGCCCGAAGGGCCTGCTTGCAAAGCGAGCTTTACGGTAACGCGAGTACCTGCTAAGTGATGGTTTTGAAAACTTTCGTCCAAAGTACCGAATTGGACACATCACAACCTTTCGAATTTAAAGATAGCGATAAAAACTGAGGAATTCTGACTGAAAAAGGATGTGTAGACTGGTCACCCGCGTACGCCTATGGGAACCATAATTGGACAGGGAACCAGAATAACGGAAGCTGTGTATAAAAAATGAAAATCCAAGGCGCCATTTTGTTTGAAATCTGATAAATAAAAACAATTTTTTGTCGAATTTTGTGGTGAAAACTATCTAGAATGAAAGAAAATGGTCTAACTAAGAAAATGAATCCGAACACCAATATCTTTTATTCAGTCGTTAACGCTGTACAGACGTTTAAAGTATTGTTTACGTGACGTCACAATGTAGCGCCAAACAGCACGTGCAAAACAAACAAATCAAGTACGCTATTTTAATGTCGCAAACGTTTTAAGTTTCACATTTATTTCACTTTAAATAATCTTTATTTCGCTTGAAAAATTATAGAGTGAAATAAAATAAACAAAGTTTTATCAACGTTTTCAAAACTCGTTATTCATTTCACGACAGGGGCGGAGCCATATTTAACACAGTACGTGTGACGTCACACGCACTTGTCACTGCATTTGAAATAAAAATGAGCGATTATTTCATACTATTTCACGTAATAGTACATCGAGCTCGCTTTGAGGCTTTGCCTTTTTCATATTAAAAAAAAGACTGTAAAATGGGTCAAACCGTTCACGCCAAATTAATTAGGCTACCTTGAAAATATATGATATCTACCTTGAATGGTTTGAGAAATTCCACTAAAGGTTTTCCATAACCGATATAACGAGCTGTGTCACTTATTGTGTTAATTTTACCTAGGACACTGAAAGATCCTGGGTTTGCGACTAGGTTATCAAAACTGTAAACACCTAGGTTAAGATTTAAATTCTTTATGAATATTTCAATGTCCTCTTCATCCATTTTCAGCACATGCCTTTTTTCTTTCCTTCCTTCGGACCGTAACACACTTAAAATATGAAATCTAAGGTTATATGGTAAATCCGTTCACTTCCATGCACAGATTACAATATAATTCACCGCTCATGATTATAATTTTATAACTTGGGGTCGCACTAAACTGCTGACGAATTAGCTGACGATATAGATATATAGGAAACTGCTGACCAGTTAAATAAAGAAGGATTATCGGAAAATGCTGACCAGTTAAACAAAGAAGGGAAAACATTGTAGGTGTGAAGTTATATAAACACGCCGTAGGGGGTAATAAAAAGACGGGAAAATACTTTTATTCTTTATTTATATTTGTAATTTTTACATTTAATTTTATATGACTATTTTTAATAAATAATTAAACAAAATTAATATATACATGTAACGTACCATAATATCATACATTAAAAAATATATATATATTAACAGCTATACCTCTATAGATATGCTAAAAGCTCAATTAATGTTTTATACAGAATTACGATGTAATAATTTTTTTATCAAAATCTTTTGTAAACGTGATGTTTTAATAGAAAAAATCTTGTATTGGAAAAAATGCATTTTCAAAAGCAATAATTGCAATTAAATTCATATATGAAGCAATTATAAACACAGAGAGTTATAAAATCCCATTTAAACATATAAAAATGTAAAATCATTCTTTATTTTATAATGCATAAAAAATAATAACAAGAAGAATACAATGTTTCATATTTGACCTAGGAAACATATTATGAGCAAACAGAACAAATAAATTCAACATCAACATGGGATATATCAACGGGTGCATCAACACAGTGTTTATGGTACCAATTTAAACATTTATCACATTGTACTTGATTCCCTAAACAAGCAGGCATATTACATATACAATATAAGTCAATTGATACGATTTTCTGTTTCTTTATTCTCCGAGAACTTAAATTTTTCTTTGTAGTAGGGAATTCTGTCATTTCTTCATTTTCAAAACATTTCAATAAATGGCTTCTTAATTTGTTAGTATCAAAAATTTTACTTAACAATGGTTTTTTACTTATACAAAATGAAGTTGCTTGAGCAATTGCAAATAAACCACAATCTACGGAGTTTTCTTGTTTTTGAACGGGTGGAATAATAATATTTACACTTTTTTTATTTTTGCCATAAATTTGTGAAAGTTGTATTTTCAGTCCATCTGGAATTAAACTGTCATCCGATCTCTCATTCCCCAAACTGTCTAAAAGATAAATGTCATTGTTGCATTTTATTGATGTAACCCAATGATCTTTGTGGTTGTGGTGAATTTGACAGGATAATTGTTCATTAGAAGGCTGTAAGGGTGTAAATGTTGTCCAAGTATTTTTATTATCATTAAATTTTGGTACTTTTTCTGGTAGTTGCAATCCGCCTATTTCATTACCAAATTTTTTTCTTAAAAGTTTATTGACTGATTCCATATGTTGAGAGTGTAGTTTTCCATGTTTGTCATTGATTATATGTTTATCATCATTTGTCAATTTTAAGTTTTTTATCCACATATTATTTTCTGTTTCTAATGCACTATCATCACGTATGTCACTTAATTCTATCATTTCACTTGCTTCTTCTATTGTAGAAAGATCATTGATTTTTGGAATTTTAACATTGTTATTATTTTCAGGCGATACAAAACACAGTTTTCGTTTCTTTTCGTTCGATGATGATTTAGGTGTTTTTAAAATAGATTTTGGAGTGGAATTAGTAAATAAAGATCTTCTCACGTCACTATTAGAGTCATGCTGTTTGGTAATCTTAGATGATGGTGTAACAACCGTATTAATTTTTTGTTCACTTTTTAAAATGGAATCTGGCGCAGCGTTAACAATAACATGTTCATCATTATCTCCTTTTCTTCCTTTTTTTGTACCACACTTTTTATTACTTTTTGGTCTACAGTTACGTCGAAGTTGAGTAAGATTAAAAACTTTTTTATCGTCTGGTAATTCCATTCCGATTGCCATCATCGCAGCTATTATGTGATAACATCTTGCAGTTGAAGGGCAGGTACAGGATTCTTTAGGAAAAAGTGTTACAGAATATTTAGTTCCGTTTGAGCCTTGAACCATAAATGCGCCCATTTGAGGCACTAAAACTATGTTATTTTCTTCAATTACTTTTATGGCAAGTGTTTTTTGACTGTTATGCTTTATTTTCGGCTTATTTATTGTAATTTCTGAAGATTCCATCATTTGTTCTGTTTTTGTTTCCGTTATTGTAGATAGTTCCCCCTTTATTAATTCTATCATTTTATGCGGATGACACACGTTTTTAGGAAGTGATACGGTATCTGGATCTAGTATTGCGTATTTATAATTGGTTCTTAGTGTCCACTCACTTTCACCACAAAAAGCACGAATCAATTCTGCGAGCATATTTCCTTGCATGTAATATAGAAATAGCACTATCTCGTCGACTGCTTTTTCTTTATATTCAATTAGCCTTTTGAGCATTGCATTTAAACTTTCACTAACATTATTAGTAATTCCTGAATACGGATTGTAAATGTCTCTCTCTTCCAGAATCCATCTGGCACAATATGTTTTCAAAGAATGGTAAATGTTTGTTTCGAAATAGTTCAAAAATGACTCACTCCATGATAATCTAAGTTCCGACAGCATATTTTCAAAATCTTCGATGTTTTGACATTGCAATAAGGATTTTATATTAGACTCGTATATTTTTTTATCGTCTTTTGAACCGCCATGTTTCGAAACCCAAAATTTTATATCACTAAAAATGTGATTCCAGCAATTAACAACAGTTGCTTTTTCTAACTGAGCTTCAAATGCTCCAATGATACCCTTTTCTCTGTCTGTGATAATGGTAACATTCGCAGAATTTAAATTTGGAATTTTAGATTTAAGAATGTGAACAAAGTCTGAATGGCAAGATTGAAATTTTCTTTCATGGAGCATAAAAGCAATTGGAATAACTGGATTTTCCTTGAACATCGGATGTTGGATTGCAACAGTAGAAACATAAAAATCACCAAGATTAAAAGTTGTATCATAAAATATTTCAACCGTTGAATCTTTTAATTGAATAAGTTTCTTCACTTCCTCGAACAGTTCCTTATTCCCGACCACGACCTCTAAGTCGGGCGTTGTTTTTATGCTTAATATATAACCATCTAATTGAGTAACTAACAAGTGAAGTGCAAACATTGCATCATGAGAAAGTTTTTTTACAGTTTTAATTGTCTGTTTAGAATTCTGTATTTGTTTAAGATTTCTTGGCGCGCTTACTCCCTTTAATTTAGTTTCAGGTGATATCTCTGAACGTATTTTTTCTAATATTTCTTTAGGTTCATCTTTTGTAAGTGTGGCTTCTTTTATTTTATGCAATACGGACGGTTTTGTACGTTTAAAAGGTCTATTGTTATTTCTTCTGTTTCCATGTGGCATTGATTGATACGCACTAGAATTCCCATAGTAAGCTAGCACAGTTTTCCCGTTATAGTCACTGGACGTGTAGCGAAACACGTGTTTCTGGAAATCATTGTTAGCTGTTTTTTGATTTTTTATTTTAAAAAAGTGTCTCTCTATCACTTTCCCTTCAACCTTATACTCTTTTCTGCCGTTATGCCGCCACGTATAACCATCAGCTTTCCAATCGTCCTTCTTACTCGTATCACCAGAATCACAATATAAATATACGCTTCCTTCCTTTGGTTTGTACGGAGAATTAATTGTTATGCTATCTGACTGACTAGACTCTAGTATACAGGAAGCCTCTCCGTACGAGATTACTCTCTCAGTCGTCGAGAATATAGGCGTTTCTACTCCACCTCCATAGAGTTTTGACGGCACATCTGTACTTAGATAGAACATACGATCAGACTCACATAAAATGACATGTTTATTGATGAACACACTGTCCTTTCGTTTTGATTTTGAAGACTTTGGTGAAGAAGAGGCGCTCTTAAGTCTTGTAGTGCAGTGATCAGTTCCCTTCACTTTACCCGACGCACGAGAAACTGGACAGTAGCGACCACCTGATAGAGGGGCTGATGGAATGTCACGGATTACCTCGTACACTCTCTGAAAATAAGTATAATATTTTTTCATTTAAATAATACCGTGGTTATCTGGAACTGATTAATTATTTTACATATTTCTATGTTTCACACTTTCGTTATCAACATGATTTAATTCAATATTCAATTGAGAAAGATTTTAATCTGTCAAATTATCTTATTCACTTATGATAGAAAATGTGAATTACTATAAGCATGTACATCATTTAATAGGTAAATATATGTTTTCATTTCCGATGTAAAATGTGCTACTGTAATGCATGTGCGAGATCATGTCAATTTTGCACGTATTATGCCATATTATATGTTTTGCATTTTGTACCAAATGGGTCTATGACCTTCTGGGAAAAGATAAATAAACTTGCTATAAACTTGTTATATATTAGGTATAAATTGGTTTGAAAATGAACATTCATAAAAAAAAATTATCCGTATACTTTAAGTACAAGATTATGAACATACCCTATTCTGGATAGCAGTCTTAACAAATGATGTTGGAGCATGGTTTACGTCAACATATGGCTGTGCACGAGATGCACGCGGTACACGACTAGACGATGTTCGACGCCCTGATGAACCGACCGTTTCCCAACCACTGGACTGGCTACGCTGCGAAATATCAAACTCGCTGTCTGTACAGGTTTGGAGCTGTAAGATACCACAAGACGAGAACACTGGTTTACACTTTTCAGTTACAGATTCTATGGCAGCCTCGATAGTGTTAGCCAACTTCTCATTTCCTTCAACGCTGAGATGGAGTCCGTCCCTACCAAGGAACTGACGAGCGGCACCTGTAAACGGATCAATAATGATAATTATAATAATGACCATGTTAATTCGTAACCGACTGTTACTTCATATGTATTCATTAATAGTACAAATATGTAGATATATAGATTCACAAACATAAAACATGAATCAACGCTCCTTTTATAAATTAATTATCTAATTTTATAAGATGTCATAAACAGGTCGACCAGAAAATTGAAGAAATCTTAATTACTTATAGACAGAATGTCCCTTTCTGTTATATTATAAGAAGAAC